GTTTGATAAAATGAATTTTAGTCTTTCCATCTGAAAAGTTAAACGGTGTTAATTGGATTTAAACAATGAGAACTTTATAGTATTTTTTTAATTATCAAAATACAACTTGTGGCATTCAAGTGCAACAAGTAGAAAACTATGTGGTATTTAAGTGCAATTCAGCCATTCAATTATTATTAGCCCATAGCATGTTCTTGTTGGGGAAAAAAAACATGGCTAGAATCAAAAGCTGTTCTGAATCAATCCATCAGTTAGTCCAGTTAATTTGATTTGTTCTCATTTAAAGTGGGTCTTTTCTAAGTAATAAAGTGAAAAGTTTACTTAATTATAAATGAGTTTTGTTTTCCCCTCTCTCTCTCTCCATTGATTAGAGTGTTAAAACATGTTTTCATGCTTAAATGTGATTGTTTGGACTTTTCTTCCCTAGTACAAATTTTTAAAGTAATAATCTGTGCATGATTGGGGTTAGTCTTGAAATAGTCCATGCATATGGATTGAATCAACATACCCTCGGATTCATTTTATGCATATCAAAATTAAACGCCAAATGTTATATACATTGTTTTCTTGATTTAAAACGAAGACTAAATTTCATAAAACTGATCAGCATAAATGGGTCGGTTCTGATTTACAAGGAATAAACTTCGATATATATGCATCGGTATTGAATTCCTTCGACAAATGATGAGAACAAACATAAATAGAATTATGACAATGGTAGACTAAATTACAAGGCAATGGTATATTATAAGTCATTCTAATAGTTGCTTAAAATTTTTTCTTGAGTGTAAAAAGACTTGTTAGTCCATATTAATTTGAAGATTTGGGATAAACAAATTGAGGGTAAACTTGAAGGAAGAAGACTAAAAATTGTTATAATTTTGGAGTACAAGTCACTAAAACCCACCCAAAAAAAAAAGGTCGGAAAAAAAAAATCTAGTCCCATGTTCTCTAAAGTCTTAACTTTGATGTCTCCGCATTACGTTGCGTAACTTTTATTTCATAATTAAAATTATAAAATAGGTTAAAAGATTTATCCAAAAAATAAAATAAAACAGATTAAGAGGCGGCATTGCTTCGAGATACAAGCAGCAAGCATCAGGTGCTCTAATTTTGAAGGTATACGACAACAAAGCAGCCCTGCAACATTGACAAATTAAAATTACCATTGACTCGAAACATTAGGAATTTGAAATATAAATTCTTTTCAAGAAGAATTAATTAAGGTTTTCCTTGCTCTGACGACCTCGTTTAGTTGCTTTTCTTGCTGTTGAATTTGTCTCATATAATGCAATTAAAAATATTGTAAATTGATGGTTATTTCGAGGTCAAAGACATGAAGCTACAAGTTTCTCTTGGGGAAGGGCCGCTTCTGGAATTCTCCAAACCTCCTCTAGAATCTATGAGTTGCTGTGTTACTTGATGAAGATTAGCTCTTAAAAGTTTTTTATTTGCTTCAATTTAATAAAATAATAGGATCTTAGCCCTAAAAATCAAGTTTACAATGTTCCAGTTAAGCTGTGTGCCGCCTTGAGCACTGTATTCAAACGAAGGCTTGTCTTGAGTGTTGTGCTGCTCTGTCACGCTAATTTATTGCAGTAATAATTGCATTAAAGAGATTTTTACAGTTAAAATATGCATAAATACTTAATTTATTAATTCAATGATTGACTTAACTACCATTAATATAATAGTGGAAAAAAAAATATTCGATAGTTTATACAAGCATGATGTACGCAAATTGAACAGTTCATTTCACCCACTTTAGCAACTTAGTTCGTAGTGAAACACGTTTCATTAGCCCCGTGCAAAAAGCCAGCCCGCCTGGGCCCGGCCCGGAACCCGGCCCGGGTCGGCCTGGAAACCCGAGCTAGACCCGGGTCTAAGCCCGGGTCCAGGTTTCCTCGCTGGCGTCCGACACGGAACAATTCCGACTGGGCAATGAAATCGGGCCAGACGACCCCGCAACGGTCACCCTTGGTGACTGTTGCGGGAAAAAATCCGGGCTAGGTTGGTCCGACCCGACCCGACAAAAACGGTCACCAAGGGTGACCGTTTTCGCCAAATGGTCAGATTTGTGACCGTTTGGCCTGGTCGGGTCGAGCTGTGGCCGTTTGGCCGGGTCAGGTCGGCCCGGCCCGGTCCGATCAAAACGGTCATTTTTTACGTTTTGACCGTTTTACCCCTTAAGACGGTCAAAAAACGACTATTTGGTGAGAGTGTTTTTGTCATTTGCCTAGGAGGCTACCTCTATAAATAGAGGAGGGTTTTTTACTTCTTCTCCTTAATCAAAACTCATCTACTTCTCTCTAATACTCTCTTATAATCTCTTATACTTTCTAATTATTTCAACAAATGGTTTCTGGAGCTGATTATGAAGAGCAAAATCTATCTCCTACCGATATTGAAATGAGTCCTCCTACAACAACAACAACTCCTCCTATCGATCCTACCAGTGGTAATCTCAAATCCGGTGGCGACGAATCTGCACCAAGAACTCCTAAAAGGCCGAGATCCGATGTGTGGAATTTTTTTTGAGAAGATAGACGTCATCAAGGATGAACACGGTAGGATCCTCACCTAAAAAGCTAAATGTGTGTTGTGCGGCCGGACTTTCCAAGCACATCATAAGAGCGGCACCAACCACCTCAAACGCCATATAGAAAAACACAACAAATGGCAGACTCCTCAAGGTGATATTCGACAATCTATGATTTCTCAGTCCTCCTCTTCTGGTAGTCTCGGTACTTGGAATTATGACGCTGCATGAGCCAGAAAATACGTCATCAGGTTTATCATTCTTAAAAACATTTTTTTTAAATTAGTAGAAGATGATGAATTTGAAGATTTGTTTAGAGATGGTTTTTATCCCGATTTTAAAAAAATTTCTCGTTAAACCCATCAACGTGACATTTTACAACATTATCAAACGGAACAAAGAAAAATAATTTCTTATTTTAAAATTTTAAACTGTAAAATTTCTTTAACTTCTGATATTTGAACATCTAGAGCACAAACATGTTATTTATATATCACATCACATTGGATTGATAAAAATTAGCAAATGTTTAAAAGAGTTATTTTTTTATTACAATTGAAGAGTTACATACTGGTATTAATGTAGCTAATTTAATAGTTGAAGAACTTATAAAACTAGAAATTGATCAAAGAATATTTTTTCTTTCACGAAATAATGCAAGTAATAACAATGTACCTGTAGATTTTTTCAAAATAACTCTATCATTGCCCTGTCATGGTGAACTTTTTCATATTAGATGTATATGTCATATTTTAAATTTAATTATTCAAAGTGCATTTACTGAAATTAAACTCATGATAGAGAAGATTAGAACTGTTGCTTATATGCATACTGCTTCTGAACAAAGACTTAAAAGATGGAAATAAATGTGTAAAAGAAAACTATATTAATGCTAGACTAATTCCAAAAGATGTTGATCATAGGTGGAATTCCACCTATGCAATGTTAAGTGTAGCTATGGAATATAAAGAAATTATAAATGATTTTATAAATTATTTTGCTTCTAGTTCTAGCTTTGGTAGTTATTATGGAATAACTGAAGATGAATGGACAATTATATGTAATTTAAATGAGATGTTATAATTTTTTTATGATGCTACTATGTTATTATCTGGTTGTTATTATCCAACTATTACTTTAGCTGCTTTACAAATTTTAAATATTCAAAAAAATTTAAACAAATATCGTACGAATGATACTTTTGGAAGTATAATTTTTTAAATGGAGAACAAATTTAATAAGTATTTTAGGCATATTTCTCATATTTTTTGTTTGGGGGTTCTTATTGATCCATGTTTGATGGATATTGGCCTTCGAAGTTTGTTACAATCATTGTATGGTGGACAAGTTATAGACTTAGACGATGGATCCAGCATTACTGCTACTTCTCATCATTTAGCT